GTCCAGGAGCGCCCTGCGCAGCGCCTGCCGCCACACATTTCGATGTTCCTGATCTACATAAAGATGTCTGTTTTTGGATTCTTTTTTGTACTGGTTATAACATGTACTTAATTTTTCTCTGTTAAATAAAATCTTTATCATGTGTTTAATTTTGTATCTGTATGAAAAGCATTATTTTATTCTGTTTTGAAAATTATCTTTTACTAGTTTTCTCCAAATTAATAAAAAGTAACACTGGAGTTGTCCAGTAGTGGAAGTGGCTGCCCCATGAAGTTGTGAACTTCTCATTTCTGGAAGTACAAAAAAGAAAACATTTTGGGGATTTGGTAAAAGATATCACATATCCAAATTATGAGGCCCAGCGACTCCCCCATTTTATCAAGAAATCTGGGCATTAGACTAGACATTGGACTAGGATAGTGGCTCTCAGTGCTGGCTGTGCATTGGAATCAGCTCAGTGCTGGCTTTAAACAGTACGATGCCTGGCCCCTATCACCAGAAATGCTGACTTAGTTGGTCTGGAGCAGGCCCTGTGGACAGTGTCATGCTGAGCCGTTTGGGAGCCTGAGACAAAGGAAAAATCAGTTTGTTTTTATTTACATTTTGATATTTTGTTCATTATGGATTTTTTTGCATGAATTTTGATTTTTCACATATTGTAATGTAATGTTATCTGTCTTTATTACTGAGGGTCTGTGTGTGTGCGCATGTGTATGTGTTCCCTGAAATGCTGTGTCCTGGCTCAGTGCCTCACTGGCCTCACCCTAATCCTGGCCCTGCCTGGGCATCTGCTCTTTGTAAAGCTCCTCACTCGGGTCATTCTACGGGGCGGCCAGGGTTGAGAACCACTGACTAATTATCTGAAAAGTGTTTCACATCTTTTACTGTGCTGTCCCATGCGGTAGCTGCTAGCCACATGGGACTGCTGAAAACTTGAGATATTAGTTATTGACACTGAGATGTGTTGTAGCTTTCAAAGCCTGAGTACAAAGAAAGTAAACGATCTCAATAATTTTTGTACTAATTCCATGTTGAAATGATCATATTAGCTTTCTGTTTGGGGAGCATCTTTTTCTTGATACTAATTTCTGAATCAATCAGGTAAGCTAGGTTATGTGCTACAGTAATTAAAAAAAAAACACCAAACAATTCTTAGTTGTTTATAACAACCAAAGTGTGGTTTGTGCTCATGCCCCGTGTCCCACATGGGTTCGCAGGTTTTTCTGGTCACTGCTGGAACACTTGGCGGCCCAGGCTAAAGGACGCTCCTTCCCAGTGTGTGTCCCTGATTTCTCAGGCAGGAAAAGGATATGGCAACTCACAAAACGGCTCTTACAGACTTCTGCATAGAAGGGTCATACATCACCTCTGCTCATATTTCACTGGTCAAACCAAGTTACAGGGCCATGCCTGGCTTCAGGGACAGGGCTGAGGATGTATCATTTTGTTGTGTGCCTGGAAGGAGGAGAATCAGAATGTTCTGAACAGCCCTAATGATTGCCACCATGGCAACCTCCTGGCCTCAGGAAATGGTGGCTGGCGGTGGTGGAGCTATTTAGGACCATGGCACACTGCCTACGAGTGTGTGGGACTGGCCCTGCCCCACACTGTCGCAGGCAGTAAACAGGACACTTTCCTCCACATGGCTTTCATGAAACTCCCTTTCATTAGGAAATCAGTGGGGGTATTTTGTAGCATTGCAGAAATACCAAGGATGAGACCCACCAAGTGGGTTACAAACTCAGCAATGCTCCCTTCCAATATTCAGCAAGGAAACATAAACTCATAGCGTGATCTCATTTCCCTTTTTTGTTTTTTTCCCTGAGATTTTGGACAAGAAACATCGGTTGAAATTCTGTGATAATAAATGGGAAGAAAAACATAATATTGAGAATAAGGACTTTCATGGATTCTCTATTTGGTAGCATTGGCAATGATGTGTTGTTAACGTTGCTTCTTGTTCCGGGAAGATCACCAACATTCAATTTGACTGAGAGTAGGAGCTTGGAGCAGAGGTGACACTGATTATTTTAGACTCAGCATAGCCCAAGGAGGCAATAAAAGTTTAGAGAAGTTTATTGTTAAACATAGCTTTTTTTTTTTGTAAGCTAGAAATAGTCATGGTAGCTATGAAGAAGTCTGTGCTTCTTTAGCTAAGAAATACACAACGCGTACCTAGATGGAATATTTTATTTGGAGTGGTTCCCAGAATTCTTGGATTGGTTGGTAATAATATTTTAGAATACAGAGAGTCCTTAGTGGGGGGGGGGACAGGGCACATCGGGGACTGCTTGGTGTAAGAGAATCATGTTTGACTTTATGGAAATTATTGACTGAAATGTTAGTTCCACAGAATGATTCACTGTGTGATCTAGGGAAAGCGCTTAAACTCTTTGAGCCTAAATTCTTCAGTGAGATCTGGTAGAAATAATCTCTTCTTACAAGGGAGGTATGAAGATTAAAGAGATAATGAAGTAATAGTGCTTAGCTCAGTGCTAGCACATACTAGGTGCTCTGTAAACGCTGGTTCATCACCTGCTTACGACGGGCAACTCAGAAAACAAATGGACGGTTCTGACCAGGGATGGATCCCAGAGTCTGAAAAGATAAGAACCATCTCAGGAAAACTAAAACAAAGATATTGTTGAAGAATTTCCAAATTTTCTAAGTAGTCACATGACTCTTTTTTTTTCTGTCTTCAGGTTTTTGGGACTCTGATTTTCTTCTCTCTTTCTTTCTTCATGTACTTCTGTTTATTATTTGCTTTTTTTCCTTTCTGTTTATCCTCTACTCCTTATTTTTTTTAAATGGGTTCTTCCAGTTTCTGAATTTTATTCTCTTTCTTTTCTTCTGTCTTTTTGCCTTCGTATGATTCTCTCACTCCCTTGTCCTCAGTTTATATTTTTCTTTCTCTTCCATTTCATATCTCATCTTTTTAAAAAAAACACATTTTTTTATCCTCACCCAAGGATATTTTTTTCATTGTTTTTAGAGAGGAAGGGGAGAGAGAAACATTGTTGTGAGAGGGAAACATTGATTGGTTGCCTTCTCGTATGTACCTCAACCAGAGATCGAACTCACAACCTGGGTACGTGCTCCGACCGGGAACTGAACCCACGACCTTTCAATCTACAGGATGGTGCTCCAGCCATCTGATCCACATTGGCCAGGACTCATCTCATCTTTTATAAACTGTTCAGCACAGCACAGACGACCTGGAGGCAGGGCTGTGTTCTCAGTACCTCTCTGCGCCTTTCTCTAAGTCTCCCTGTCCTCAGTAGAACTTCTCCCTTGGTCCCACCCACTGCTTCTGTGGGCCATGGCAGTCTGTTTCCTGTACTAAAACTTGTTCTTAGAAATGAATCTGATCAACTCAGAGCCACAGAGGCATAAATAACGTGAAATTTTGTGCTTTACTTTTCCTGGGAGTACTAGAACTTCAATCAAGTACAAGGCCTTTAGCCAAAGAAATAAATCTCTAATAATAATTTCAGGCAATAGAAAGTTATGGAGCACGTTTTCTTTTAGGCAGGACACTTTTCCTGCCACGTATGCCTATTCACAGAGCTTGTTCTGCTTTGATAATTTAGAAGAAAATAAAACAAATAGATTCAGATAAAGTTAAGTTAGATTTAGCCACCTTCTGGTACATAGAAGTGTTTCAGTCTAATCAGTTTGAGGCTGAAAACTATTTAATTCCAAGGGATTGCGTTGAGCAGATGTAACAATTAATTTCAGGTAAATCAGTTCAATCTGGCTTTCCCCATTCTTTCTATATTTTACTAATGTTAGTGTAATTTGCAAGAGAATATGTGCTCCATTATACATGCTTGCAAGCAGCATGAATCAATCTAACCGAAGGGCCCTGTGTGCCCTCCCAGTGCCCTGCAGTGTGGTGGAGACCGCCAAGTGCCAGAGGGCCATTGTCTTCACTGCTGACCTTGTGCTGAAGGCCTATATGCTTTTCAGGGACCTATAAAAACACCTGATCCCTGCAAGATTCTGTGTGTACTCAAGTATGAAGAATAAAAATAAATGTAAAACTGAATATCTGCAAATCAAAACATTTGATCAATTGGTTATTGCCTAATTCTTATGTCACTCTCTGTAAATTACATTTAATGAGAGAGGTGAACAAACTTTAACATGTTTGCTGTGATGTGGGATGGGTCTTCCACAGGTAAGTGTGCACAGGTCACTCAGGTCTTGAATAGCCATCAGTGTCAGAGATTTGAAAATCTGAACCAAAGTGTGAGAACACAGCACTATTTCTCAGAGTAACATGAATCTTTAGGCACAAAATGAAGTGTCTGGAGATATTATACTTTACTCGCCCCCATCCATCTACATTGAGGATGGAGCAGCTGGACAGGGGGCATCAATATCATTAAAAATAGACAAAAAATGGAGAAAACTGCTTTTATTAGAACTCCTTCTAGAAAGAAACTACTATAGGTAGTTAGAAGGGTGCTGCTATAAACTGAATTGCATGCCCCCTCCCTGTAATTCAGGGGCGCTGCTCTCTCTCTCTCTCTCTGCCATGTTAGGACAGAGAAGAAGGTGGTCCTCTGCAAGCCAGGAAGAGAGCCCCCACTTGGAACTGAACTGATGGGCATCTTCTCCTTGGACTTCCCTGCCTCCAGAATTGTGAGAAATAAATTTCTGCTGTGGTGTTTGTGAGGGCAGTCCAAGCAGACTAAGACGAGGATGGACGTTGACAAGCAGCTTTGGCTGGCATCGGGGAGCTCAAGAGATGGTCCCCAAATTCCTCTTACGTCTGGTGAGTTACAGAGCTTTTGCTTTACCAAGGTGGGTGTGCAAGTTTGGGGACAGAGCTGAATTTCCCAGGACCAAGTGTCACCCTCTGTGGAGCTGCCTTTCCACCCTTCTCTGAGTTTAAAGGATACCTATTTAAAGAGGCCCCAGACTGTTAGCTGCCTAGATCGTCCACACACCTGTATTTATTCGGTCTAGCCTTGGCTAACTGTCACCCTTCATACCTCGATGTCATAGCCGATGCCATGGGCCTTACACGTCTGGAGAAAAACATAGTGGAAAACCAGCGAGAGGTTGTCGTGCCTCAGCTGGGTGGTCATCACTGCATAGCGATGGGTGGCCTGCGACTGGAAAAGACCACAACAGAATGTCAGGCTCTTTACAAAATATTTAAATAAACTTTTGATCTTAGAATAGTTGTAGATAAACAGAAAAGTTACAAAGATGATACAGAGAGTTCACGTTTACCCCTATTGCTAACATTTTACAATGATGGGGTCCATTTGCCATAATTAAGAAGCCAAATTGTAACATTACTATTAAGTCCATACTATGTTTTGGTTGTATTAGTCCCCCCACTTTTTGGTTCCAGGATCCCATCCACATACTGCATTTTATTTAGTTGTCATGTTTCTTTCGGTTCTTCTGGACTGTAATAGTTTTTCAGACTTCCCTTGTTTTTGATGATCTTGACTATGCTGAGGAACACTGTTCAGCTGTTTTGTAAAATGCTTCTCAGTTTTGGTTTGTCTGATATTTTTCTCATGATCAGAACGGGGTAATGGGTTCTTGAGAGGAGCACTACACAGGGAAACTGCCGTTTTCATCACCTCGCATCCAGGGTACCAGTATCCTGTGCTTGTACTGCGATCAGCACGACTGAAGAGGCCAATCTGGAGCTCCTGGCTGAGGTAGTTTTTGCCAGCTTTTTCACTAGATACACTTTTCCTCCTTTCCATAGTATGTTCTTTGGAAGCAAGTCACTAAGTAGAGTCTGCCTCCTTGAGAACTGTGAGAATTGTGAGAATTATTAGAAAAGTATAAACTACTTAATTTGTTTGGGAAACTGCTATTCTGCACCTTATTTGCCTATCAGTGGGAGTTACCTCAAAGAGATTGGTAACAGTAGGCCTAAAGTATTCCAATTATATTTCCTAAAACCATTTAAGATTTAATATGTACAAAAGAAAGGATTGGCCCTGGCTGGTGTGGCTCAGTGGATTGAGTGCCAGCCTGTGAACCAAGAGGTTGCCGGTTTGATTCCCAGTCAGGGCACATGCCTGGGTTGCAGGCCAGGTCCCCCTGTTGGGGGCATGCGAGAGGCAACTATTTAATGTATCTCTTGCACATGGATGGTTTTTCTCCCTCTCTCCCTCCCTTCCCATCTCTCTAAAAATAAATAAAATCTTAAAAAAAGAGAAAGAAAGTATTGGATCCTGGTAGTTCTGTAGCATGTCCTTTGTGAGATGTGATATTTGCCTTTGACAATAAGCTATGTTTGTCCTTGGATAACTGGAAATTTGGAGAATGGCAAACAGGGCCACAGCTAACTTCTGGGCATTGAAAATGAAGGTGACTGGCTCAGATTTTGAACTTTAGGGACCCACAAGTGCTGGTCAACCAGGTGCCTGCCCTCGTGCAGTACTTGGAATAGGAGAAGGAAAAAGAGATGCTGTTGGTTCTCACCTGCCTGCAAGGATCATAAGACCTGATACTACCTATTGTGACATCTTACTCTCCCTCTGTCTCTGGGATCACACAGGGGAATAGGGGCTGACTGAGCGCACAGCAGAGAATGAACATCTCACATAGACACATACACACACTCCATGTTCAACTTTTGAGATATGTTTCCCCCACATATTATGTTCCTTCAATATTTAATAAAGTATTATATCTGATGGTCATGTCCAGGACTATTAATTAAGCCTGCTCTTCCCACATGTATGCAGAGTCCCCATCTATAAAAATGTTGAGTTGTGCACTTGTTAGTATTGTCCCATTTGTAGCCATTGGGAATTGCCTTTTTACAAAAGAAAATCCGTTTAGCCTCATATGCCTTACAGCTGTACTTTGCGATCCCCTGACCTATTGTGACTTGTGGCCCTGGTGTCTCTCTCACGTGGCCAGAGGCTTTCTGAGGGCAGCCCTGTGTGGTTTGTGGACCCCCAGCTGGGCTTGCCATGAGCACAACACAGGCACTCAGCATTTTCTGAGTGAAAGAACGGACAAATGAAATATAATAAGTGGGTAGCATTTCCCTCTGAGTTGAGACTCCACAGGGTATAATTCATGGGACTTCTGGTTAGTGAGGGCTTCGGGGCAGAAGCAGATGATTTACAAAGCCCAGAGGTCCGTCACACCATCCCTAGAGAATGACGACTCCAGGCATTCACTCCAGGCCTTGAGCTCAGAGGACATCTTTTGGAAGAGGGTGTGGCTCTGGTGGACTTACAGGAATTATTGGTGGAACAACAAGAGCCGGCTGCAAGAAGTTCTGGCTCTGCTGTTCAGTCAGTCGGGAAGACATGTCACCAGGCCTGCTTGCCCTGCTGCCCTAGGCCATGCCACGCTCCTGCCTGCGCAGTGAAGGCCCACAGGCCTGAGCTTTGTATATGGAACTGAACTGTAAATACTCTGGAATTCCATTGTGGTTACTGAGCATGTAATTGCATGGTAATTACCATGAATTCACAAGATAATTCCAAGGTTATTTTTGTCTTCTAAACTTGTCTTATGCTGCCATAGTATATAAGCCAGCAAATACAAGATCAGGCCTCAGTAAGAGAGGGAGAGAGGTGGGCAGGCATCTGGTAGCAGGATCCAGCTCAATGCTATTATCTTGGCTCTAAACCATGCAGGAAAGCTCAGTGTCCACTATTTCTGGACAGCAGGCTGTCCGGAGGTTTCTTCCTCTCCACAGAGACAGACTGCAATTCCCGCTCCACCTAGACCTCAGCTTGTGAGTCATAAAGAATCTAAAAGGAAGGCCAGGATATTTGGGATATGTCTCCAAGCTGCCTCTTCTTCCCATTACCTTCACCATCCTAACCTAGACTTTTTTGGCCTGAAGGGCCACTTCTCCTTCCTACGTGGGAGGTGAAGATGCCAGCAGCTTCTGTAGTATAAAGGTTCCACGGAGTCAGATTGATTGAGCCTCAAAACCTGACTAGGCCATTTGCCAGATGTGTGACCTTGAATATTTCATTGAATTTCTCTGACTTCTGATGATCAAATAAGCATCTAGCACAACTCTTACCACCTGATAAAGGGTAGCTAGCTCCTATTTTTGTTGCTGTTTCTTTGAAAGCATCTATAAGACCTAGAGCTCTTTGGACCTATACTAAATGTTATTTCCCAGGTTGTTCCTTTCCTTGCTGGTCCCTGGGATTCTGGGCTTTACCACAGGATGTCTCCCGGACCCAGGCTGGTCAATGCTCAGAACTCTTTCATGTCTCCTCCTTGCCTTCAAGATGCAGTTCAGCCCTGGCTGGGTAGATAGGTTGGCTGGAGCATCCTCCTATAATGCCAGGGTTGAGGGTTTGATCCCTGGTCAGGGCACATACAAGAATCAACCAATACCTATATAAATAAGTGGAACAACAAATTGATGTTTCTCTCTCTCTCAAATCAATAAATAAAATTTAAAAACAAACAAACAAGATGTAGTCCACATACCTGGCTTGGTGGGTAGCCTCTCTCAAACTTACTCAGTGGACTGCTCCAATCACTTCTCTTACTCCCTACTTCTCAGATTTTCTGCCTCAGCCCAGCTTGTTCATTGCCATCTCCTAACAGGCCACGGGCTCTCTTTGGCTTCTGTTCCTTGTTCTGGGGAGGTGTCCCTCTCCTCGCCACTTAGTGACTGTACTTTAAGGATGGACCAAGTTCTATCTTGTTAATAACGTGTTTCCTGCCCCTACTAGTCCACAGTAGTTTTTTCTAAGAACTTCAGCAGCAGGTGGCAGGGCTGTTGCTCAAATGACACTTAAATGAGGGCCTAGGGTTTCTCCTTGGGTATGTGCTATTTTATGTTTCTTTCAACTCCTCAAGGATGAGGAGTTTTTCAAATGTCTTTGTATCCCAAATGCTTGCTGAAATTCCTGGCATATATTAACTGTACAATTATAATGCTAATAAAGATGAACATACATGACACACCTACTTTTTAAAGACTTGACCAAATCTATGGTTTCTATGGGAAGAAGTTGTCAATGGTCTGGAGTTGTGTTTCATCCAGACTGATAGCGTAGGTGATGGTGTCGTCGTGAGGTTTACGTGAGTACTTAAAGACATTGGAAAAGTGTCTGGCACAGAGTAAGCACTGAAAAATGTTAGCTCTTCTTATCATTTGTTAGTTAAAATAATTTCACAAGTAAGAAAAATTATTTAAAATAAAAACTGGGTGAATGTCCAATATACCCTTTCATTACAAAGGGACATGAATCAGAAGACCTGGGCTTTGTCACTTCTTTAATTTTATGACCTTGGACAACTCACTTAACTTTGCACAGCCTCAGTTTCCTAATCCGTGAAATGGATACGATAACCCCTGTCTTCTTTATTTCTTGGATTTGTTATGGGGGTCAAATACATTCATGGCTGTTTAAAAGTATAAAGCATTCTACAAAAAGAAAACATCACTTTTTAAATGGGGACAACTGTAATTGCACAATAATAAAAAAAGAGAAAAAAGAAAAAGTAAAAGGTTGACTTGTGTAGTCCATGCTCTTTGGATGCTGTGAAGTCTGCCAAGGACATCACGACCTAAATGAGATTTATAGGATCAGAAGGCTCCTCCATACCCATCTGGCCTGTCCGGTGCTCACTGAGTCTCTGCCTAGCTCAGGGCAGATTGGAATCCAGTGGACAAAGGCAACAGGCCTGGAGACAACTTCATCACACAGGTAGATGAAACCTCTTTTGGAAGAAAAGCTTTCTCATGGTCTCAACCAGAGACTTCTTCAGGGGTGAGCTTAAGCTCGTCTCTGGGGCTGGATCATTGACTTGGCCAATGCAAGGCAGGTTGGGTGGTACAATGGTCAGACACAGAGGCTTTAAGGTCCGGCAGGCCTGGGCTTCAATCTTGGCCCCCACACTTGCTTGCTGAGTTACTTTCCACAAGTTGCTTAACATTTCTTAACCTCAGTCTTCTTATCTAAAAACTAGCATAATAACAGCACCTGTCTGACAAATTGGGTTATATAAAGATTCATGTAAAGCACTTAGTTAAAGTACCTGGAGTAGTGTCAAGGCTGGATACATTTTGAATATTGTTATCATATTATTGCGTGCCTTATAGTTATCTGCTGACCTATCAGTCTTCTTTAATAAAGTTGGAGCTCTTTGCTATTCATCCTTATAGCCTCTGGGCTTAGTAGAGTATCTGGTACAAAGTAGTTACTGAGTAAATACTTGCTGAATTTACTTCTAGTTGATTCTTGATGAAAGTATTACTGATAGCTAAGGTAATGGCTGATGAGGAGTTAGGATGTAACCTGTCACAACGTTATCACATCTTTCTAAAAGATTCTGCAAGAGAAAGACCTTTTAATGGAAGGCTGAGGTATGGAGGGGTGGGCCTTTCCTGTGTCCCCTTGCAGGACAGACTCCTGCCCCCCAGCACTCTACTGTACACAAGACTGCCTGGATCAGGCTGGGTATTGGTCCCCACTTTACGGGCCCCATAAAATCAAATCTCTCAAGAGACCTTGGGGGTCATTTGGTCCTCCTTTATTTTACAAATGAGGACACTGAGGCAGGCTGAGGATCAGAATTCATGACCCCAGACTTCTGACCAGTGCTCTTCACCCCAAATTCCCCCTGGCCACATTTGGAATGTGTGGATGACAGAGATTAGACTTTTCTAGTAAAACAAGGGGAAAAAGAGAAGACAAAATATTATCAGTAGAAGTCTAGTTTTATTAAACTACCTTGCTAAATCACAATCTAACAAGAATGCTTCAAGCCAAATATAGGAAGCTGGAAATACTCCTTTTCACTGGAGAATATAATTTTGCTTCAGCCACAATTTAAATTGATTTAGTTCTGAGCACCAGCACTTGAAGTGTAGAGCGTATTCTATTTTCGCCATGATACTTGTTTTGACAGTGATGCATTTCAGTTGACATAGTTGAAATCCTTATGTAATAAATCTCTGCCTGAAAATTAATCATGTTTATAATATTCTGAGAATTAATAACACCCATTGCTCAAATCATTAACTTAAAAAAAGGAGCTTCCAAAATCTGTTCTCGGCAGTGAGGGACCACAAATAAATGAATGTTTGATAAAATAATCCAAGTAGCAGTTTAACAAGCGTAAACTTGAATGTGGTCGCAATAACACAGAACTATTGTTTAAGGGTTGGCAGAGGCTGATGAGGTTCTTATTTCAGTTACGAAGCAGGCATCCCCATGCATAATGAACTGCTCTCTGAATTATTAATGTGCTGCTTATTTAGCCTCATCTGTCTAGAAGATAATGTATCCTAACTCTAATGAGTGATTGGTCTTGTACATAATTACAGTAGCAGCAGCAGTGGGGGAAATGTGCGCCTTCAAAGAAGGAGTTCTAAAAATAAAGTCATCACATAAACTTCGTTGTTGTTGCATTTTATCAAAATCAAACCCGAAGCATTTGAGAATTCATAATAAATTACAGGAGACAGAATCATTATTAACATCATAATTTAACACAAAAGGTTTTACTTAATCATTCATTACAGACCATGTGCTGTTAAAAATGCTTATAAATGACTTGGGTTGTTTGAAGATGTTCGCAAAGATGGTTCCCTTTGGCCACTCACCAGCTGTGGTGCAGAGGGGCCACAGGCAGTGAGGAGACGTAAAAACAGGTAGAAAAGGGTGACGATTAATGCCCGTTCTGACAGAACCTCAATTACAAGTTTAAAAGTTGTTAGGTGACTCCTTTTCATCTCTAAAACATGCACCTCTGGGACTCATCTGATCTTGCTTCTGCATTCAATTGGTTGTTTGCAGAGGACACTGGATCAGAAACCTGTGCCCCTGGTCGAAATGGGTCTGAATGGTTCTTTGCCACCCGTCTCTGGCATGGGATAACAGCCCTTCTTAGAGTCCAGGCAAGTTTTTGCTTACCCTTGCATAGCATGTCACTTAAAGGAAGAGGCCCACATGAAGCATTTTATAGGTGTTAGTTCTGAATGCACCCTCATTATGGTTTCATCTGTGCGCTTCCTTTTTCTTCAGTCTTCAAAGGGGGCTGTCAACTGACTGATCGTAAACCTGACGGCATCGTAGTCTGTTCACACTTGTTCAGGAAGCTTCAGTTTGGTTGTAAATTGTACTGTGTGTGTGCTTTCTAAAAAATCGCCTATCACATATGTGCGAGTGCTTGGGAGCGTGGGCGGGCATGCACATGCACGCACGGTGGCACCAAGGTGAGAACATTCATTTATCTTCCCAAAAGCCAAACTTCCAATTTACCCCTACATCAGAAAACCAGCATGGCTTTTCTTCAGTGACTGTAGAGACACTTGAATTATTGAAGATCATAATGCTTCCCTCTTGAGTGCAGGCAATTCCTAAAAGTGTTTAAGACTCTTGATCACAGGAGAATTCCTGCATGTTGCCTGTAGCTAGGATTGAAACCCATAGGCAAGACTGGGGAAATGAGAGAGTGCTTCTAATTCTAAGTACAACTTCTGTTTACAACCTTCTGAAGCAACATACTTAAATGCAGCAAATTGTCTTTGTAAGTCTCCTGTTGAATACTAACTCAGCTTCCAGCTTCATTTTAGAAATGTCATGGAGTTAGGTTTGCCAAGTCAGAAGGACTCACGTTTTACTGCTGTCCCTCCCCCTAGCATTGGCCTTAGGGTCCTGTAGGTGTCCTTGGTGAGGATGGTGGCCACAGGTACGGTCGGATCTCAGAGATTCTCAGCAGGTCCTGGGACCCAATTAAAATGGGTCTGTTTTTCTTCCCCAGTCCAACTCTGCTTCTTTTCTTAATAAGCAAAAAGATCAAGGGAATTCCCCTGAGCAAGGGTACCTCACAGGACAAGTGGATTGAGGAGGAGAAAAAGGCTACTGTCTAAGTCCGCCGAGACAGCTGGCAGCCTTCAAGCTACGCTTCCGAGTGCACACTCAGTTCCTGTCAAGGACGGTGACTGCGGAGACCCTGGGGGGACTGTCAGACAAGGGCTCTTTAAATCCAGAGGCATCTCCTGGGCCCGAAGAGGCTCAGCACAGAGGCAGGAGAGGCTGCTCTGAAGAGGTACCGCTAGGGCACCAGCGTGGGGCACCATTAATCATTGGGACTCCTCTTTTATCCATCTGTTTGACATATTTGGATCTCAAGTAGGGTTTCATTGGCAAAAAGCGTATGAAGCCCACTGTTGCAGAGGCAGAAGGAGCCCTGTGGCAGATGTCAGAGCCGCTGTGGCCGGAGAACCCATCCGCCCTCGAATCCCACCTGCACTAAGGGCCTCTTGTTCTCCTTCCCCCTGGCTGACCCAGCCCACTGTCCCCATGGTGATCTACCCATTGTTACCCCGGGTTCTGAGGTTGGTAAACCTCAGCCAGCCCCAGGACTGCGGGCCTCAGCCTTCCTAGCTAGCGCCGGGCTAGTGCTGAGATGGGCGAGCAGGGCTGTGGGAAGAAGCAAACCATGGGAAGGTGCATCAACCCAGCCAGGAAGTTGGGATTTTTCTGAAGACGAGAGGAGCCATTTCAGAATCACAGGTAGGGGAGCAACATGCTCAGGTTTGCATTTCACCTTGGCCATCCTGACTGGTTTGTTTAGGCTGAAGGAGAGACAGGAAGCCGGGAATCTCAGTGAGGAGTGTTACAATACTGGTGCGAGGCGATGAAAGCCCAAACTAAGACAGTTTGTTCGTGGAGGGAGAGGAGGGGTCAGAGTTGAGGAGCTGAGACGTTGTAGCCGCTAGCACCAGCATGAGCTGGCTGCCGCCGGGGTGTGGGGACAGGGGGTGTCCGGTCAGCCTCTGGCCTGACCCACCAAGAGGAAGTATAGGAAGGGAGAAAATGAATGTGGTTTTGGAGAGGTTAACCCTGAGGAGTTCATAGAGAAGTTCTGTAGAATATTCTGTCTAGGAGTCTGAAACTGAAAAAAAAAAAAAAAAAAAAAAAAAAAAAGGTGGGGGTGGCTAGACAAATACGGGTTTTGTGAGAAGTTGCTGGGAATTGAAGTGGTGTGTATACATGTTTGCCCAGGGAAGTGAGCTGAGAAGACAACTGAGGGACATGCCAAGCAGATGTGACCCTGGGGAAGCCTGGGCTCTCTCGCCTTTCCACCTAGATCTTCCTCTTCCTGGAATGCTCTCTCCCCTTTCTGCTGACCAGTGCATTCGTATTCCAAAAACTCATTTCGAAGAGGTTAAGTGACTTGCCTGAGGTTCTTTCCTGTCTCTAAACTCAAAGCACCTGGCACTGCCAGAGCCCAGCGTGTGCAGAGCCCAGAACATAGGGAGGGTCAAGAAACTTCTGTTGCTTACCGGCACTGACAGGGCATCAAGACGGTTCATTTTCTTCTCTTTCTTGGGAACAGGGCGGGGCACTGTAAGGGCGCTAACCCTGCAGTCCAGGTGGCCGTCGGTCAGGTATAAGGTGAGCTGAGTCAGGGCCAGCTGGTCACTGTATGAGAGGTTGAGGTCTGTTGCCCACACCTGATTAAAACGGGAGTGTGGGTGAGATTAACCACTGGGGAAGAACATCACATACACCCGGCCCGGCCCAGCCCACACCAGACCCAGCCGAACCAGAGAACACGTGGTTTCATGGAATGGATGGTTTTGTTTTTGATTCTACTTCCTTCACTGGAGGGCTGGAGCCTGCAGTCTGATTGTAATCAGAAGATTCGAGGTTCTTGTGGGAAGTTAGACAAGTGAAAACACCTGGCCAAGGTAATCAGCTGGAGATGCCCGGTTGCAAAATGCTCCTGTGGACTTGGATCTTTCTGCTTGTCGTTTGCCTTTTCTAAGATGGTCAGTACAATGTTTTCTACTGAGAAGTGAGACTGGACAGCAGCTTCAGAGAATGGGGAAGTAGAGGACAGCAAATGGGGAGAAGAGTGAGCAAATATGAGAAAAGGGCAGTTTGCCCTGATTTCAGAAAAAGCAGTGCTGGCCTCTTGGGGATTTTCAATGTGATACTTCAAGGAAGCTTGAGGCTGGCATGGAAATCTTAGCTTTACCACTTTTTTACTAAGAGAATACAGGGAAGTCACTTTCCTACCCTACGATGTCACAATATCCTCAACTGGGAAACAGGGAAAACACCCACCCAAGCTGAATCACAGGATTATTAGAAGAAGACTATGATGCAATAAAAACAAAAAATGATTTGAAAATAGACAGATGTAATCTATATGCTACTATTGTATAAGCTACTACTAGTGATGTCCACTAATTCCTTTGACTGGTATTTATTGAGCATCTACCATGTGCTACGCTAGAGATGACAAACGTGGGTCATGTGCCAACTCTCCCCTGTCCTGTGGCAGACCATCCTCGGTTGCTCTTGTTATCTCCCACCCAACACGGAATCCAGCAGCACCCTAGGATCCTCCTCAGCTCAATGCTCAACACATAGTGTTGTGCTAGTCACTGGAGTGTCAAAGATAAATAGGCACAAGTTCTGTGATCAAGAAAGGGAACACAGAAACAAACATTCAATTAGTTACAACACCATGCAATACATGATATTAAAAAAAGGATGGAATGAAGTACTATAGGATCAGAAAGGAAGGATAGACTGAGTCTGTCTGGTGGAGCCAGGGCTGCATCATGGAAAAGGTGGCATTTGAGCTTTGAAAAGCAACACAAACATGACTGGCTCCCGTGTATCCAGTACCTACAATGTGCTAGGTGCCTTATAAACACCTCAGATATTTATAATAGCCTAAGAAATAACATCCCCATGTCAGAGATAAAGAAACAGAGGTTCAGAGAGGTACCCAAGCCCACAGAGTGAGGAAGTGGTGGTGCTGGGATTTGAATCCAGTTCTGGAGGAGACAGCATGGATCTTGGCCCAGCCAACCCTTACCCTGTACCAGTTCCCTAGTCAAATTAAAAGCTCAAGTTGCAGAGGATCAAAACATGTTCTTGTTTAATATCACTCACGCCATGGAAATGTCTTGTGGAGAAAACATGAAGTATTGTATTTCTGTGGTATGCTGTAATTAGCAGTAATGCATTTTCACTGTAGGAAGTTGGAAACAAACACATTTTCATGAAGACTTGATTAAACATTTTTTCCCTCTTAGAAGGCCTACATGTGCCTCACACACCAACTCGGCATGTTAAAATACACGATAGATCTGCCCTAGAGTGGACGCCTCTCAAACAAATCTAGCAGTGAGCGACTTGAGTAAGCATTGAATGCAAATGGCATCATTATAAGGATATTAAGAGGTCAGGCTGTCAAGGCCCCTTGCTAAACTGAAGCTAATTTCAGGAGTCATATTCGCACAGCAATGCCCTTTTATAATAGCAAATAAATTACATTTGCAACAATTGTTAAAAACTAACTGCCAAGTATCTGTTGCAGTTGTAAATATCCTATTTGTCAACTTAGATATTTCCTGCTGTATGGCATGAAATGCAAATCCGATGGGGCAGCCACTTTTCCTTAATATGAGAAGGAACTTGCTATTCTTGCCATGTCAGGCATTTTTTTCAGAGCCTCAGTCTTGGCCTTTTAGTGTCTTTGATCAAAGGGAAATGAGTAGAACAAAACTGATTAATATTTATGTTAATAATATTAATGTTTTGGTGATAAGGATTTTAATGACAAGGCGGTACTTTTTGGGGGAAAGAGGGAGAACCAAGGAGGCGGAGGGCCTGCGCCTGGCCCTTACAAACAATGTAAACTGGAGCAACTTATTGGAGCTCTTTCCATCTCAGTATCCTTAAATGTAAAAGGAGCAAAAAACAATACCTATGGGATTTTGAGAACAAAATAAAATAAATGCACATAAAATTGCCTATCACATGATAAAGTGATACAAATGTTACTTACGATTATTGAACATTTAAGAGAAGCAGGATCTTAGGAGACACATTTTCAGTTGCGTATGTAGCTATTAGATTGCCCCACTTAATCACTGGTTTCCCCATTTATAATCGTGGTGTTCAACCTCACAACAACTCAGTCTAGTAAGTGGATAGGTTTGGGCAAGATTGATACCCCTCTGTCTCCACTGGGTCACTGACAATAGTGAGATCAAAAAGCAGTTTGGGGCTTTGCCTAAGATTATAGGGCACAGGCCAGAGTTCTGGTCTTCTAGACATACATTTGCTTTCCCAGGCTGCCCTAACCCCTTGGTTCACAAAAGAAATAGAACACATTTCTTTAAGCCTTTTCCTCAACAGCAGGCTCGCCTGAATTGCTCAGATAATTGTTCTGTTCTCCATCTGGTTTTTCCATTGCAGACACTGCCTGAGGCATGCTTATTTTGTATACGGGGCTCCTATCTCCCCCCTAGACTGTCAACCCCTTTGGGGAAGCTGCCGAGTCTTTGTCTTCCCACTGCACCTAGTGTCCAGGCCAGGGCAGGGCTCACACCTCGCAGTGAACTCTCAGCAACCTGTCAGGAGCGGGGTGGGTCTCTTGAAGCTGGTTTCCGATTCAAATGCTGCAAATATTCATTGAGCGTCTCCTTTGTGCCAGCCCCAGGCTTCCACAAGTTATCTCAGTAATCCTTTCCTTGATCTTGGACTTGAACGTTCATTCTAGTACCTAGTCTTTCTCTGCACTGGATGTGCTCATCACAGCCCCGGTGAGTGAGGAGGGCTGCCTGTCCCAAGGCCCTGCGAGTGGGGATGCAGACAGAGAAGTGGATGGATTGTTCAATGTTTAGGAGTCGGCTTTGATATGACTTGCAGGACTTGTAATGACTAGCTTGACAGGTTAATTGATTAGAAGTGAGGGTGAGGGGAAAACATCACTGAAGGTTAAGAGCTGGAAAGACCCTTCAAAATCATGTAATGCAATTGGTTTACTTTGTAAATGGAGCAACTCTGGGATGAGAAGTGAAGAGATTTGCCCTAGGTTACAGAGCCAGGGAGTGAAGGCGTGGGGTGAGAAACCAAGGTGTTTCAGCGCCCGGTCATAAATCACTTGTTGCTTGTTGTTTGGTTGATTGATGATATTCGGAAATCATGTTGTTAAAAATGGCTAGAATACCAGCAAGATTTACATCAAGGCCTTCAGAAGCACAAGTGACATAAAAATACTCATCTCAGCATTACTTGTAATGTTGAAAAACTGCAGCTCTCCAACTTTTGATATTGGCTTAAGAGGGTTATGACACGGTCAAGTGACAGGATGGTCTATGATGTTATCACTAAAGGTAATTATTGTGAATGACTTTTGATGATGTAGGAAGATACCACAAAACAGCTAGAGAAGGATACAATGTCATATGGGCAGTATGACTTCAACTTTGTAAAAATAATACTATGCTTAGAAAAGGCTAGATGAGCATGTAACAAAATGCTAGTAGTCTATTGTTAATATTAGCAGTATTATGACAAGTGCAATTATATAGACTTTCATGTATGTTCTAGATCACCACTGTGTAATATCGTAACCAGTAGCCACTGGTAGCTATTTAGCACTTGAAATGCAGCTGGTTCAAATTGCGATGTGCTATAAATGTAAACTACACATGGGATTTTGAAGACTAGGGAGATAAAAAGAAGGAAATATCTCAGAAATAATATTTTATACTGGTTACATGTTCAATGATAATATTTTGCTTATGTTAGATTAAATAAACACATTAACATTATGTTCATCTCTTTAAATGAAGCTACAGAAAATAAAAATGACACGTGTGGTTTACATTCCATTTCTATTGGATTGGTTGCAGAAAGCCCACTGTGGCTTCGGCAGGGGCAGGGCCAGCAGGGGTCAGGCAGGGAGCGGTGTTGCAGCGGCCCAGCCCTCCACGGCCCTCACCGGCTCTGCCCTGGACGCAGTGCTCACCGCAGCTGCCTTGGGAGACCCGTGGCAGGGTGGGCAGAACACGGGGCAGAAGGCAAAACCAAGAACATACAGTAACCTCATCACTTTTCCAGAGTCAGGAAGAGGCAAACTTGCCCAGAATTGTTCTGTTCCCAGGCTCTGGGCCCTGTTTGGACCACAAGCTTTGGGATAAAGAGCGAATAGTGTGCTTCTGTGTGGGGAGGTATGGCAGAGAGGCCCAGCATTGAGCCCTTTTGGCCTTAGGTGTTCCAGACAGATGGAGGCCGCTTGCTCACCCCTGCTGCTTCTGCCTCTTTCCTGTGACAGGCAGGATGGATGGGTGGCAGAGCTTGCAGATGTGGGGAGATGTGCTGAGGCTGTATATTCTGTGACTTTCTCTAAGTGCAAATAAAGTTCTGTAGCAAAGAGTTTGGTTGTGCCAACCTTCTCTTATGGGGATCAGGGCAGGTATGAGACTGAGAGACTAATTTATAGATCAGTTGACATTCACTGAAGACTCACAGAATTTCAGAGCTTTAAGAACCTGTAGATGGCCCCGGCTGGTGTGGCCCAGTGGGTTGAGCATTGGCCTGTGAACCAAAAGGTCACCAGTTCAATTCCCAGTCAGAGCACATGCATGGGCTGTGGGCTGAGCCCCCGGTTGGGGGCTTGTGAGAGGTAACCGATGGATGTTTC